CCATTACAAAGTAAAGGATGTAGGTCATTTCAGGCAAAAAGCGAATGTAAACATTAGTATGGCTCTACAAACACTCACCTCCCGGTCTCTCTCTATCTCCAGACCAGCATCCAACAGGTTGGCCTCAAATTCCTGCCTGATCAGCTGCATCTCCTGGGCGGCTGCCTCCATTGGCTCGTTTCCTCTTGCGTTTCCGAGTTCCATGAACACCTCTCCAACACTTGCTGCCTCTTCCCTCCGAGGGCCCACTCCTCTTCCCTGCGCCACGTCCGAGCCCGTCGTTGGAGGGAAGTTGCCATTTGAGACGATGGACAACTCATCCTGTGGAACGGCGACACCAGCAGGAGCTCGTAGCGAGGTGTGCCGTTTATAGTGGTAAACCAGAACGTAGTCCACTTTCCGTCGGCCATCACAAAAGTAAAGACCTTCACCGCTGGCTTGAGAGCTGGAAGTTACTCCCACGACCTGTAGAAAATAAAAATATGTAATGCTATGGGAAATAAGCACCTTATTTTACGGAAAGTGGTACAAATTACTCAACGAAAACCTTTAAGCAGCAGGGGAGGTACGTAGTAAGTGTTTGAATGAACTTAAACATCTGATGCAGTGTCTGCACCAGCAAACACAAGTGGCTTTTGTCAGGTTCTCAAAAACAATAAAATAAGAACTTTCAGCAGCAGAGTGGGCAGTCAGCTCACCTTTGGCTTTATAGTCTTTACTTAGACAGGAGAAATAAAGAGATTAAGCATGGAAAACTTGACATGAAAAGCTGTACAGGTGGAAGGATTCTTAGCAGCAAGGTGTAACAGAGTACCATATTTTCTGGCGAACAAGTATAAGTCACAGTTTTTTGGATAATTTACATGTCGTGTGACTTATAGGCTGAAGTGACATATTTATGGATTTTTTTCCCATATTTATAAACCAATTTTTGACTGAGGTATGACCGTTTTCATTCATTCTGACTGATAAAAAAAAAAAAGAACACTATCATTTTCAGCCACTAGATGGCAGCAGAGTAGTATTAGCAGAATGGCACGCCGTTGTATCATGTAATAGGTAAACGTGGCTATAATGACAAATTCAAAAAACTTTAATACAAAAACAACTGGACTTTATTTATTATACTTTGCTTTATACTTTGTTTTTTCTTGAACTTTTTTAAATTTACGGAGAGAACATGCAAACTCCACCCAGAAAGGCCCCTGGACCGGGGTTTGAACCAAGGACCTGCTCGCTGAGAGGCAGCAGCTCTACCAGTTGCGCCACCGTGCTGCCTGGAAGGTATATTTATGTAGATTTTTTTAAAATAAACATTACAAAGTGCTTTACAATAAAATAGTATATGGTACAAAATGGTCTTTTTTTCTTTCGGCAGGGGTCACCATAGTGAACTAACTCGCACGAAGACTTGGCAGTTGTTTTCATGACGGATGTCCTTCCTGACGTAACCACAGAACGATCATCGAGCTACCACAACCGTCTGTGTGGAGCAGAGAGCTGCCATATAGGGCGCCTGCCCGGGGAGCAGATGGTGGGAGTTAATGCCTTGCTCAAGGGTACAGAATGGGGAAAATGTAGGTGGAGGCAGGTGTGGGTGTTTCACATTTCCCACCCAGATTTCGATGTTGTTGTTCCAGGGAGTTGAACCGGCAACCTTCTGCTCACAGGCCCACTTTTTCTAACCTCTGAAGTCTTAGTCCAGGCTAATGACTAGAAAAACATACTTCTAAAACGAGTGTTTATCAAAAGCAACATGCCAGTGTGAAAGAATGCTACATTAGCTACGTTAGCGTTAGCAGCACGAACTATTACAAAAACAGCAAGAGAAATAAATAAAACTCTACAGTGTAAACGTTTCCTTTTAGCTAACTGAGCTTTCTTTCGCACTAGCACGTTGTTTATGTTCAAGAGTTGACTGAAAAGCAAAAATAAAATGTGCCTTTGTTTCGTTAGCTGTTAGCCTAGCTCGGATAAAGACTTTTCCTTCCTCATTCAAACTTTCAGCTCTATGACTGATGTCACGTCTAATAATTTTCGGCTGATAGAATTTTCCCTTCAAGAACACATTAACCATCGATATATAAAAACTTGCGTGGATATAGTTACTTAGAGCTTTTTTTTTTTTTTTACCGTCCTTCGTGACATTGCAATACATCTCATCTAATGTGTATATTCACTGACTGTTGTATTAAAGTTTGCCTGATGGATGTAATATTCAAACATTAGCACAAGCAAGCCTTTTAGTCTTTACTTTTACCCTTTTTATGTCAACACGGCTCTAATTTCATTCTTTAGTCATTCGTTTGTTTTCATGCGTAAGCGAATCCACCGCAATACGTCAACCTTTCATATCTGTATTCATCTCTTCCCAGCATATTGTTCAACCAAATAAAGGTCTGAAAAGCTATTCATTGTTCCGGAAGGCTCACCGGTACAAACCGATCAGAAGCATTGAGCCAAACACTTGAACACAGAGAGAAGTCTTAATTGAGTCCCAGGAACGTTCCCGTAGGATTACTGTTTGTTGGAAACTTCCTCATTATTTTTATGGGGAAATATGTAAAGCAGACTACCGGGAAGATTCCCTGTTGGTCTGATCGAGCCGGTACCAAGAAACCATACAAGACACTGATGTTTGTCTTAGCTAAAGCATGAGGAGTCCTCTGGGGACGGGGGGACCCATGGAGACAGCATCAGAGGCTCCAAACAGAATATTGTCTTTGCTGTCTGTTTCATGATGCTGCACTACTCTAGTTTATAATCTGACTGTAATATTATATTTTTTCTAATAATAGTGGATTTTTTTTATTAATTTTTTTGTCAATCCTGCTGCTTAAAGGTGAAAGCAGACGATTATGTGTTTACCCATGCCTGTATGTGCACGTCTGTTGGCAACATATCTCATGAAGCGCTCGACAAATTTTAATAAAACTTACGGAAATTAATAATTGGACGTACATCTGCAACCTTTTATCTTTCGGAGTCTGAGTCAAGATGGCTGCCACAACAACGAGACCTTAAACATGCAGAAAATTAGCTATAATTCAGTCAGTTTTACACTTCAATTATGGTGTGGTAGTAGCAGAGGCTGATCTCAGACACCATCTCTGAGCACTAACAGATGGTGCAAAATCCCCGTTTAAACCATTTAAACCCCCAACTATTTGGAGACTACTCTGTCTGTTAGCGAAATATCTCAAGAATCATTTGTCGCATTTTAATAAAACTTTAAAAATATATGCAGTGGATATAGCTTAATAACTTATTAACGTTTGGAGTTAACCAAGTCCAAGATGGCTGCCACAGCAAATTAAAATTAGAAATTACAAGCACGGCTATAATTCAGTAAAGTTTACAAGAACCAAGATAAGAATTAGCTGTAGTTGTAGCAGAGAGCCTTTTACCACACATACTCCGAGTGCTCCTCATTGTGCAAGATATTTGCTTTAAACAGTACCATTAACTGTTGGACTCATCTGTTTGTCTGTTAGCAAAATATCTCATAAACCACTGGACAATTTTTATTGAAACCTTGGGGAAGTAATCCTTGGCTGTACGGCTATAATCTATTAACTTCTAGGGTCAATTCAATTCCAGACTGCCACCACAGCCAGCTGAAGTCCGAGAACACAAAAACAGCTACAATTCACTCCTTTTTACAGATACTGCGCTAAAATTTGAGATGGTAGTAGCTGAGAGTCATTCATAACATGTGCTTGTGATATAATGAGATTATGCACACTGTTGTTTTTTAGACTTGGCTAAATCTGATACAACTTTGTCATTTTTCAACAAAGGATGATCTCAGTCTATTACTATGGCAAGAACGGCAGCGGGCGATACGTATTCCTCTAAGGGACGCTCGGCTTTAAATATTATTATAATAAAAATATATCACTGTACTATGATTAAACTTATAATTTCTACTTTGTAAAGTGAATAAATACCTGTTTATAATAATGTATGGCACTCTGGATAAGAGTTAGAATGAGAGGGGACCCAGCTGCTGCACAGCTGGATGTTAAATAAAGCTGAGTTGCACCCACAGATGAGAACTTACTGGGATCTTGTCTTCGCTCGGAGAGATCTGCATGTTGCGCTTCAAACACACACACAGCGGGAGAAGGAGGACAGCAGGATTAAAAGTTGCCTGGCTCTGCAGTGAAACGCAGTCAGATTCCTCTCTGCCATCATTAGGCTCCTGCTTTAGTCGGCAGTCCAGAGAGGAGCCGGGGTCCGTCTGCTCCAGGTCTGAAAAGGATCCTGGGGGTCCAGGAGCGTCTGTGGTTGTGTGCTGCTCCTCCACTTCTACACAAGTGATCTGTGGGCAGCAGCTCCTGCAGGGATGCTGCTGTCAGAGGCAGCTCGAGACTGTAAAAAATGACCTGCCTCCGTGTAACAACACAGGGTTCATTTACTTATTTATTTATAACCTTCCATAGGAACGGTGGTATTAATCAAATGCTTGTTTTGTAGTAAAAACAACTACTTAACTGTTTGAAAAATAAAGGTGTCACCCAAAATAAATAAACAAGACAAATAATATTAAGGGAAAGAAATGTTTTTCTTTCAGCTGCTCCCTTTCGTAAAGGTCACCACAGTAAGCAAATTTACACAAAAGAGCTGAAGTTTGTTTTGCATTTACCGACACAACGTTGGTAAATGTGTGCTAGATGGCCTAGGTTAGGTAAAAGTTAGTAAATGTGGGTTAGATGGGCTAGGTTAGGTAAAAGTTAGTAAATGTGGGTTAGATGGGCTAGGTTAGGTAAATGTTAATAAATGTGGGCTAGATGGGGCTAGATGAGCTAGGCTAGGTAAAAGTTAATAAATGTGGGCTAGTTGAGCTAGGCTTGGTAAATGTTAGTAAATGTGGGTTAGATGGGCTAGGTTAGGTAAATGTTAGTAAATGTGGGTTAGATGGGCTAGGTTAGGTAAAAGTTAGTAAATGTGGGCTAGATGAGCTAGGTTAGGTAAAAGTTAGTAAATGTGGGTTAGATGGGCTAGGTTAGGTAAAAGTTAGTAAATGTGGG